AGAGAGAGAGAGAGAGAGAGAGAGAGAGAGAGAGAGAGAGAGAGAGAGAGAGAGAGAGAGAGAGAGAGAGAGAGAGAGAGAGAGAGAGAGCAACCTCCATTTCTCCCGCTGCACGGCCTGGCAGACGTGTAGGGTGTACTGGTGGTTTAAACTGTCATGAAATAGTCCCGTGGCTGCGCCTTGAACCCTACAACGAACAGTGCGTGGGTGTGAACTGGTGGCTTAAACTGTCATGAAATATTCCCGTGGTTGCACCTTCAACTGTCCTTTTCATTTGCTTCTTCAAATAACTCGTCAAATTGGAACAATGCAGAGAAGATTAGCATTGCCCTTGCGCAAGGGTGACACATAAATCGAGAAACGGTCCAAATATAAAAGAAGAAGAAGAAGAAGAAGAAATGGGGAAGAAAATCCTTTTATTGGGGTTTCCCCTCCCCCATTCCTGTACTTTGATGGACAGGTTGCAGCGGAATTCATTTGTTTATGCAAACTGTCACTTGCCTTTGGGATTCCAAACATCCTTAAAAAACCTCCCTCCTCGAACTCTTACCTGTTAATCCACTTTCCCTACTCCTTTTGGGTAGCGAGCGAAGCTGCGCTGACCCATCTGCTGTGAAGTGGTGAATGTAAATCTTTTCCCTATGGAGGGGTATCTCTTTCAACCAAGCTACTTCTGCAATTGGTTATTTTACTCTGGGCTTTTCCAGTGTCCCTTTTGCCTGTTTGTGCCATTGTGGTGAAGCATTCCATTCTTTGAACACTCGTCCAAGCTCACACTCGCTCTGTCAAAAAAAAACTCTGCAGATCTGCATTCTGTGATCCTCCCTCTGCTTTGCTACTTTATTTTTGTCTGTCTCTGTTTACTTACATTTCTATGCCCATGTGTTTGATTCTCCACACCCCTTCTTGCCAACCTTTGCCATTCTTATTTCCCTTCATTTATCTTCTACCCCCTTTTCTGCCTCTCTTTCATGAACATGTCTCTGCCATTTTTTTGTGCCATTTGCGCTGCTTTGCCTGTTGTTGATTACTTGCAGTTCCTCCTGGTGAAGAGGGCTGGCTCTGCCCTACTTGCGATTGCAAGACAGAATGCATCTACTTGCTGAATACTAAGTCTGGATCATTTCTCTCGCTTGCGAGCTCATGGGAGGTTTGTAGCTTTGACCAATTCCCCTCTACTATTGAGAATGATAGTGCTTTGCAATGTGCTGTTCGGGAATCACTGGTTCCCATCGGAATCCTTTCCTTACATCACCTGGTTTTGGAGTTTTCGTGAATGGAGTTATCGTGTTCACGACCTGTCGGGGTATTCATCAAAATCCTTTCTGTACACTACTCTGTTTGGGAGCGTTACATGAATTGAGTCTATCGTGTTCTTGACCTGGCTGGTTATGTTGGATGATTTGCTGGGGCAGCGCCCGCCTAACTGTGGATACCTGGGTTTAGTGCTGGTGTAACTTGGTGCATCGACGCCTGCTTGTTGTCCCGACCCTGAGTGTGTGAAGGACACAATATAAGTCCATTGGTTTAGAATGTTTGACATGTTCTGCTCCTTTTTTTTGGGCTTTGTGCTAGCTTGTGGGAATGGATCCATCTGTTACATCTACAGCCAATGATATTTTTCCGAAGGCAATGCAGCCTCCTTGTATACAGCCATGATTTTCGGAGGCTGGCGGAGTCACTGGTGATCCCAGTTGTGAATCCTACCCTCAGATTCCACACACTTCTTCTATCTATCATTCGTGCTAGGTGGAAATTCCTTTGAATTCCATCTTGTATTTTCTGTTCTAAGAAAGGAACCAAAGGATGTCATGGCTGAGAGATTGTGAATACTGATTTAAGAACAGCGAACACATGAAATTAGAATGTATGTAGGGGACTGTCACCTGTGTTATGTGTGTAAGCAACTAACACCTTGTGGTGTGCTATTCCATGCTAACAACCCACTGGCATAGATCTGGTTTATGACAGTTCAGGCTTGCTAGGACAGAACAGCAGTTATCATAAAGCAGGACAGACATATTTACTCCCAAATACTTGGAGTAAGGATTTGACCGCCGAGGTGTCCACATGACATACATGCATCATGCAAAGTTCAACCCCTTTCCCTATTCCAGTTCTTCATGCAGAAGTGTGGTCTGTTATGATCCTGGCCAATTTCGAAGTACACATTCATCAGAAAGTAAAATGCCGTCCAGTTGCAAAAAGAAATGAATGAACTTGAGAGGAGAGAGAGGGAAAGAAGAAGAAGAAGAAGAAAGAAAGAAGAAGAAGATGACGTACACTATCATAGATCAATGATAATGCTCTTTTTCTTCGCCAACCACTCTCCTCCCGTCTTATTCAAACAAGAAATAGTAATAATAATAATGTTGAATGGTTGAACCAGAATCAATGTCCGAATCCCTCTTCTACTGCAGGTATCACATGAGGTTCACCATAGCCATGCCCACCCTTCTTCCTCCCACCTCCAAGGCCGAGGCTATGGTGGACTACCAAAGGACAACAACACAAAGCAGCTATGGCTGCTCTAGCTCAGGTCGCCATGCCGGACTCTGCCTCAAAACTTCTTGGTGTAGCTCTACCCCAACTGGGGCCTTCCTGCTGCAGCGCCCACCAAGGTGATGAAGATGGCAACCACCATAGCCAGGTAAGTACCTCTGGCGCTCCCCCTTCCAAGTCCTGTCCTTGCTCCTACCCCAGCAGTGCAGCTCTGCGCTAGCGCTGCTCCCGCCAGCTCTCCAACCAGTGTGTCGCCAAACTGGCACACCGACAATGAGGAGCACCTTCCTCCGCCTGGAGATATAGCGGCCTGCTTGCCTCTTGGCACACGGCCTTCAAGCAACCGGTACGTCCTCCCTTTTGGAGGGAAACATCATTGCAGACTATGATATTGCCCGTACAGGCTCTAGACTCAGACTGGTTGGACTGTACCCGCCTAGACCTAGCCTACAACTACTGGGCCTCTAAAAATGCCAACTTTTGTCTTCTTCTGCTCGGCCTCGAGTGTCCGGAACATCTACCTCTACTTGGTGTGGTACCCACCTACCTGCTACTTGAGTGTTTCCGCTGCTCTAAGTGTCGCGGGCCTCTTTCCCTGCCACTTGAGTGTTTTGCCCACTGCAACCCTCAATGTCACAGCCACAGGTACGTACCGGCCCTTCGGGGCTTCCGAACAACCAAGTGCCCTTGAGGGTCACACATGCTCAAACCGACAAGCACTCAGACAGGCATGCAGACCAGCAAGCACACACCCACACAGACTTAGAAAACTAAGCAACAAGCGGGAAACTCAGTAAGGCATACATTCCAGGAGCAAAACTCAGATATCAGCTGTGTGTTTGCAGCCCGTCAGGGTTGCGTTTTCCCCCCCTGAGACATTTCAACGTCAATCAAATTTCAACGTTGGTGGTCGTCCGGAGGGTGGGAATTTTGAGGTTTTGGGGCCTTGCAAGGGCCAGGACCGCGTAGGACCGGTAGCTGCTCGTAGGAGGCCGAGGAGGCCGAGCCTTTTTCGAAATTGAAATGGTGTGGGTGCACTTTTCTCCAATAGCACAGTACCTCGAATAGAAATCGTACGCGTTGTATTCGAATACAACGTGTACCCTTTCTATTCGGATTTCGAAAAGAATACAATTACTACTTTTTTTTTGGAGGTCAGCGCCTGCCCTTGTGCTCCCCGCCACTGACATGCTGCATGTTGCAAGTCTCTCTCTCTCTCTCTCTCTC